CATAGAACCACTTGTTTGGCTCTTATCTTGACAGACCAGTGTACATCCTCTGGTCTAGCCAGACTTGCAAGGTCGAATTCCAGTCATGGTAGTGGGAGCGGGGAGGAAGCATTTAGGAACTAGATTGCTCTACAATTGGAGCTTTTGTTTCCATGTTTTTGCTGCTATGGAAATTACTGTAATAAACAGGTGTGCCTATGTGTGCTCATGTTGTACTCTGTTTCCTCTAGGTATAAATGCAGTAGAGAAATTGTGGCATCAGTGAGTCATTTTCACTTGTTTAAGGAAGTGCCATGCTGGTTTCCTTCAGGGTGGTACAGTTTCTCTCTGCATCTTCTCCAGCATTTATTATTTTGTTTTATTGAATTTTTCTACAAAGTATCAGTTGGAGATACCACATTGTTTCTAATTTGTATTTCTCTTATTTCTAATGAACATTTCTTCATATGGTTGTTGGTCACCTAGATGTTGCCTTTGGTAAATTGTCTGTTCATATCTTATGCTCACTTTTAAAAATTGGGTTATTTATATTTTTCTTGTTAAGATGTAATTTTCTGTAGGTTTGGAGATTGGCCTTTTAACTGATGTATCTTTACTAGATATTTTTTTCCCAATCAGCAGGGTCTCTTTGAATAATTTTGAAGTCTTTTGATGGGCATAAATGCCATATTCTTAGAAGGCCCCAGGGCTTTGTCCCCTATAGTGTGGATATTTTCATTATGTTCCATAGTGTCTTTATGCCTTGTATTAGGGCCCTTATAGTTGTCCCTAGTTTTTCATCGATGCTCTTTACGGTTGTGTGGTTTTTAGTGAGGTCTTCATCTTGGCTTCCTTTTTTGTACATGGTTTGAGGGGTGGTCCTGTTTTATTCTTTTATGGGTTAGACCCCATTTCCCCAGCACCATTTGTTGAAAAGGTCCTCTCTTCCCCACTTAATGTGTCCTAGTCCTTCATCAAAGATCAGGTGCCTATAGGTGCTTGGTTGTATTTCTGGGTTCCCAATTCTAATCTGTCAGATCTATGGGTGTGCCAGTCCTGGGCAGTTTTAGATTACTGTGGTTATATAATAGGTTTTGAATTCCGAGAATGAAAGGCCTCCTAAATTAAAAATTTTTTGTGTGTTTTGTTTATCCAGGGTTTCTTTCCTTTCTATATGAAGTTCTTGAACAGTTTTTCCACTTCTTTGAAGAACTGTGGTGGGATTTGGATCAGAATTGCATTGAATTTGTAAAGTGTTTTTGTTAATATTGACGTTTAGTTTAGTCTACCTATCCAGGAACATGGTGGCTTGTTCCATGTGTAAACTTCCTTTTGGTTTTCTTGTAGGGACATTTTGTAGTTTTCCTTGTAGAAGTCTTTTGTTTCTCTGGTAATATTCCTAGTTTATCTTTTGTGTAGTTATTATAAATGGTATTTTAAAAAATATCCTTTTGTGTATCATCAACTTTAATATACAAGCATCCAGCTGATTTCTGTACGTTGATTTTATAGCCTGCCACGCTGCCAATTTGTTTTCAATTCCAGTAAATCTTTGGAGTCAATCTAATGGTATTTTAATAAGCGAGGACAATGGGTTTACTTTTTTTTTTTTTCTTAAGGCACCAGCACTAATTTGCAAGTTTGTCTTACAGTCCTCTTAGCAACCCCATAAAGGGTTCCTCCTTGGAGGGGCGGGGAAACTGAGGCTTGGAGACAAGAACAGGTATCTTACTCGTGAACTCACCACCTGCGTGCAGGCCCCGCCCTGGACCCGCCCCTCCCAACGGCCTCTCCTGTCGACCAATCAACGGACTCTGAGGGCGGTTCGCCCCGCCCGGACCCCGCCTCCGCCAGCCCAGAGACCACGCAGAGGCGACGCGTCCGCCACAGGCTCCTCCCCTCTCCCCGCCCCTCCGCCGGTGCCGGACCGGAACTATATGACCCCGGAAGTTCCGGTGCCATTGCTGTGTGGGATAAACAGTAATGGCGGAGGCTGCAGCTCCGGGAACAAC